AATTGACTGACGGACCATGGAGAGATCCCCCGAGACGGCGCGCGGACCATGGAGAAAGCCACAGTTTGTATTTAATTCTGTGCTTGATATTTTCTAAATTTTACACTGTCCTTTTATAAATTATAATTTATTATTATAAGAAACGCATTATATTATATTTTCTACTTTTTTAAGGAAAGAGCCAATCATTATAATAGGGATCAATAACTATGAACGTTTTTTTCTTTACAATTTCCATATTTCTCTCTCGACGCTTTCGGTTTTACCACGATAAATCAGCGCGTTCGCAAAATGACCAATGACACGACACGTTCTTAACATTACAAATAAACGAACAATAAACTGGCGATGATTCGAAGACAGCTTACTTTACTTATCACACACATTATCGTATTATTGCTTGCTCGTCGTTCGGAATCACAGGGACTCAACGTGAACGAGTAAAAAATGTTTCATTTTATCGTCGATAAAATTACAGTGGAAACGGGTCAATTTATTATCAATCTTCAACACTCAAAAGGGAAATAAAAATATGCTATGAAGAATTGAAATGATTTGACAAGAAATCGAAGTAGCGAAACTCTCATCTATGTTTCTAAATAATTTATTAGGTTGTTGCAAATCATTAAAAGGATTCATGACAGAAAAGTATCGCAAAATAGCGCTTATGCTGCATCAAATTTAAGATTAAAGTGTAACGAAAATTATAGCATACAGTTTTCATTAATATTCTTAACACAAAATGGCTGATTATCAATTATAGAAAACAAAAACTGATTTTTAGGTACACATGTTCTGACGCAATTTCATAACATAAAAGTATCCGTGAACAGAACCTATCCAACGTCAATTTGAAGCTTGAAGTTTACGCAAAATAACTATATAAACCTTCGATTAATATTCTGAATACAAAATGGCTGATTGCTAGTTATAACAGACAATGGATCAGAGTGAAATTGATGTATTGTTCCTTTGCGGATTTCAATTAAAATACAGCAGCAACGATGATGGCCACTGGTAATTTAATGCAATATTTAGAGAGAATTCAGCTAATAAGCATACAATACGTTGTTAGTTCAACAAATTTTGAATCAGAATATATAAACCTCCAGAGTACATTGTATATTCAACTAGAATAAGCATTTGCAATCAGTAATAATATACAATAATGAATAATCAATAACTTGAAAATAAAGTAATAAATTTTTGAATTAATTGAAGAATATTAAATTTTTTTATTTCAATAGCAACAACCTGATAATTAAAATTTTTCAAATTATTCTCTACATTTCTTCTCTAGTTCCTTTAATAATATAAAATTTTGTACAGGAAAGAAGTAAATTCTTAACAATGGTTCTCTTTACAACTTTACCTCCCATTCTTCTAAAATTCAACCTCATTTGTTTCGTTACAATAGCACTGAATTGTTCTGTTCTTTCTTTATCGTGTTCGAAAAATTTCAGGAAAATTCAGTCTCTATATTACCTCGTTCCCTCTGCAACTCCTTAGACCGAAACTTTCATCACTATTTACACTCTTAATTATTAAATTGAAAAAGAAAATATTCTCCAAATTGTATAGTACAATGTCGACAGCAAGATTAATTCATGCTTCTGTTAAAACGTTGATTACTGTGTTATATAATTAAATAATTAATTAAAAAAGAAGGAAAAATTTTGAATTTTGGAAAGCTTGAGTTTGGAATTTAATAATTTCGCCCTTGTAATTTTAAATTCTTTTTTCTAATTAATGATGAATTACTACTAGAATTAATTTCTGAATTTTATTTAACTAATTTTCAAATTTTAATTATCACCTGCAACATAATATACGCTATCCTGTGACAATAATCAAAAAGTTAATTAATTACAAGTTCGAATATATCTTAATAAACATTCATTTTTACAGCAGCAATCAACGTGTTAATTAGTCCTATCAAGACATTACTTCACGCAATTTACAGATCGAATTCCCGGTGAATTGAAGCACACGTTTTTAGCTACTTCGATCATTGAATTTCGTCGTTAACAGTTTGTCACCGCCTGCTCTCGTCGTTGTCCACGTTAGCTTGATGACACTAATTAGTCGTGACAATTATCCTTATTGGGGGCCTGTCCCGCTTATCCATCCGCTTGATCGCTTCTATCGCGTGATTTCTAGCGGAAAATCAGGCGTCTTTGATTTTCGACCATTCTATTACCTTTCTGAGAGAAGAATTCATTTCACTTTGATGTCTGTGATATGTTAAGATGGGTCGAAATGATCATTCTCTTTGATTTATTAATTTTTCAACGAAGCAGCAGGGTCATTTGAGACCTGAGTTGGGAATTACTTAAAATAATCTTCTGACAAATATTTCGACTAAATCGAAAATATTGAAGAATAAGACATAAATTATTTATTGCAATAAATTTTATCTGGAATAAAAACTTATTCGAATAATTAAAACAACAAATAATTAAAAATTTAATTAGTTATTTGATAATTTTATTTGAAATAGAAATGTTTTTAAATTAAAAAGTATTTCCACTATAACAAATCATTAAAGTATTGAAATACCAAACCTGAGAATATTAAAATATTAAAAATATCTTTAAGTGTAAAATAAAAATAAAAATATTAACCCCTTGTTATTAATTACTCCAAGGCACTGACAGGCTTAATTCAATTTTGCAAATTTACCAGCAGATGCTTCATTTTACCAAATCATTATTTGCAAAAAATTTCAAAATCACTCCTATTTTGCATTTTAAATTTTCATTCAAAGAAACAATTGTTTTATGATTTGAAAATATTTTCATTTATTGAAGATTATTTAAAATAATACCCAACTCTGTGACCCAGACCCAATTAGATTATTAAAATAAATCAGATGTCAATAATTTTCCTAAAGTCTCAATAAAAATTATACAACATAATATTTTATAATGATTTATATCAAAATTGTTTAATTATTCAAGAACAAATGGCTCGGTTATTCCTAACTCAGTTGTTACAAATTGTTAGAAGTCTTAAGAAATATTACAGAAGGCATAATTTTAACCAAGACAGAAATTACCTTAACAAATTTCTCACCGAGGAACGTTTCTCGAATAATTATACTTCACTCGAAGCTGTGTACATATACTCATATTTGTACGTTTTCTAAAGTCAATATTATTTCTGCAAACTCTTAATTTTTGATTGTGTTGCAGAGTAGATTCCATTAAATTAACACTCCCCTATGAGTATAAATATTTAACTCGTTAAACACAAACTATTTTACATACCACGGAACCGTAAGACTCTATTTACATGAAAATGAAAAACGAGTCTAAGCAAAACATTCAAAATTCAAAAATGAAATAGAATAAATAGAAATAGAAAAATGAGAAGCAATACTAAAATTTTAATTTAACTTTCTTTTTTTAAATATTATATTACTTTTTCCAAATTTCATTTTTTTCAAATTATTTCAATTTGAATTCTTAACAAAACTGTTTCGACCAACAAACCACGTTCTATAGATTTCTTTCATATTTTTTTTTCTTTCATGGATTAGCAATCGCAAAAAAGCGTTGCTACGGGCGTTTTGTGCAATAACCAGCATAAAATGTGCAGTCGTAAAAAACTCGTAAAGAAATCAACGTCAGTTCGTTTACCAGTAGCCGAGTGAACTTGATTGTTTGAACTATGAACATGTGTACTTACGTATGACTTGTTTTATAAAATAAAAATAAACTGAATTTATTGTTTCGATCACTCAAACGATTTGTATTAGAAATCCAATAGACAGTGGTTTGACAATATCGTTAATAATTTTCATATTCGTCTTCGCTCATAATTAATTACCTAAATTTTTGCATAAATATTAACTAACAATAAGCTTTTACCTTTCGTATGTGTACAGGTTTCGAATTTAACATTTCGGGTACCGGTACACCTCTTGTTTCAGTCAATCACTGATTTTCATAGAGAAATGATCCTTTTATGAATTTTATGGGCTGTGCTCAGACGAATCATTTTTGAACCACAGGTGGTCGGAGCATGATTGGAGTGTGCGATACACCGACTACTCGCGAAACACTCGCGGATCACTCGCGATATGGATTTTTAAAATAATAATATAACACCGGAAAGTGATCGGGCCGTGGGTGGAATGTGTGACAGGCGGACAACTCGCGGAGTACTTGCGGACTACTCGCGATATGGATTTTTTAAATAATAATATAACATTGGATAGTGATCCGCGAGTGGTCCGCGAGTGGTTCGCTAGTGGTCGGACTACTCGCGATATGGATTTTTTAAATAATAATATACCATTGGAAAGTGATCCGCGAGTGGTCCGCGAGTAGTCCGGAAGTGATCCGCAAGTGGTCGGCGTGTCAGACTACTCGCGATATGGATTTTTTAAATAATAATATACCATTGAAAAGTGATCCGCGAGTGGTCCGGGAGTAGTCCGCAAGTGGTCCGCGATTAGTCCGCGAGTGACCCGCGAGTGGTCGGCGTGTCGGACTACTCGCGATATGGATTTTTTAAATAATAATATACCATTGGAAAGTGATCCGCGAGTGGTCCGCGAGTAGTCCGGAAGTGATCCGCAAGTGGTCGGCGTGTCGGACTACTCGCGATATGGATTTTTAAAATAATAATATAACACCGAAAAATGATCCGCGAGTAGTCCGCGAATGGTCAGCGTGTCGCACATTTTGCCCACGTCCGCCCAACCACTTTCCAATGGCAGGTATATTATTATTTAAAAAATTCATATCGCGAATGGTCCGCGTGTCGCACATTCCAACCACCGCCCAATCACTTTCCGATGTTATATTAATATTTAAAAGATCCATATCGCGAATGGTCTGCAAATGGTCGTCTTATCGCCCATTTCGACCACAGCCCGCCCGCCTTTTCATCGTCCAGATGTGGTTCAAAAGTGGTTCTTCTCAGCGCGGCCTCAATTCACTTTTAATGACCAAGCGAGCATATATAATGAAAGAAAATGAAAACCAAGGATAACGGCTGAAATATAATCAAGCTTTATTTTCATCGAACCGATACAAAAAAAGAGATGAAATACGAAACAAGGAATATTCCATAAACACATCTTCGTTGTTAAAAAATGTGGATGATTTACATGCAGATATGTGGGGAAATTGATTTGTACATGAATACTTTAAAATTTCTTTAACAAAACAAACTTAACATTACTTTCAAACAGGAAAGTTCACAAAATGAAAAATCAATCGATGATTATCACAAAATCGCAATCGAACTGAATAAATTCGTATCACACAATCTTAACGATGAGACGAATCAAATTTTTCAACCTTCGTATTGTAGGTATTTCATGGAGGGGGAAAGTGGGCGAGTCGCCCCGGACGCCCTTAGTTCGGATCGGTGACCGCCAGGTGGCGTCGGGATTTGATCTGTTTTCTCGCTAGCGGTCCCCCGGCATGCGATTCAAATGTGTCTCAAATGAGCCGTCTCAAATTATTCCGTAACTATTTATGATACAAAATATTGTTGATATGGAAATTGCACGGTAAAATGGGAACTATGTTTTGGCCAAAGTGAAAAATCTTTTGCATTATTAGTTTAAGAGATAAGATGGTCAAATTTTGTTTTCTAAATGGAACCATATATTTTTTTTCAGATCATGTTATAATGTTTCTCAAGACGAATTCATTAAGCTTTAATATATACGCTTGATTTTAATCAATTTTCAAGATATAACGTTTACAAATTTCTCGATTTTCAGTAGATACGTCTCGGTTTGAGTAGCAAGTCGTAAAAGTGGCCCTATTGTTGCGGCAAGTGCCACAGCGGGGGTGTACGCTAGGAACGGCAGATCCAAAGAATAAAAAACCGCAACAACAGGGCCGTATACGAGTTCCGAAAAGCGGGGTTGTGGGCGTCTGGGGCAGGGACGACCCTGAGAAGAAACGCCTTTTTCTCTCCCTACAGTATAATTATAAAAAAGAAAGATAAAATCATCAAACACGGTTTGATATTTTCCTAATTACAGAATATAAAATGTTGCGTTTCGAAGAAACAATGAATTTTTCAATGAAACGCGACTTTTCGATACACTTTCCGTTCATCGCTGATTTATTTGATATTATTCACGCAGACTGCATAATTTTCTCCATGAGAAAGAAAAGAAGACACCGTCTTTTTCTTTTTTTTTTTCGATAAACGACGCTGATATTTACAAGCTATTTACAAAATGTGTGTAACGATGATATTCACGAATTCTATCACAGAGAAACGATGATCCGTATGAAAAGTTAAAAAGAGAAACAAACGAAAATAAAATAATAACACGGTAAACAGGATAAACAGTGTCACGGATAAAATTGTCAGACTTCAATAACGAAACGAATACGCAATAATCGACGTTTCAACGATGAGGTATAAATTAATTTAACGTTAATTAACGACTTAAACTACGCGTACGTGTAGGAATTAAATTACTGCCAAGCATTACCTAACGAAGCAATATTATTGCATTGTTTTTTCCATTTTTTTTCCCTTTCGATTCCATTTCTTAGCAGGAAATTCAGATTACAATATTTTATTTATTTTTCGCAAGATTTGCACGACTCTAAAGACATTAATTTGTTTCAATATTTTTCAAACACCTTAGTGGAATTTTCTGTTTATATTGAACTTTAATTGTATTAATATTTGCCAAAGTGAAGTAAATTTTTAATAAAAATTAAATAATTTTTTGGAACCATAAAATATATCTCGCCATAAGATACTTGGTTTACAGTTTAATTAATTGTTTCTAAAAATGATGCAAAATTTTCCACGAAGTTTTCAATTGAAGTAAACTAAAAATTACAAATTCAATTATCCCTATTGTCGTTTTTAAAAATTTTAAACAATTGCAATTTCTTCGAAGGAAGCTCATTTTGATGTTCGTAACAAGAAATTATTGATATGTTTGTGACTATAAATATCTGTTTGCTTAAAACCAAATTAACAATGAATTATAAATACTATCTCGATAAAATATAAAAGTTTCTTAGAAACAGGCGCGATCATAAAATAAACAATCAAACATGAACAATAACAATGATTATAAATTATACACGGTCTTACGAAAATTTTCAAATCACCCAGAGCGATTTGATTAATTTATACAAATATTCCAAACATTCAATTAATCAGATAATAAATATATGTATATATAAAAAAATTCTAAAATCGTGTTATTTCGATCGTCAATCATCAAAAGTGATTATCTAATCGATTTGTGTTTATTTATTGCTTCCGCGTACCCATCAACCGATCCACTTGATCATCAGAAGCATGCTCTCGATCTGCCAATCAAACTCAAAAGCCTATTCCACGAATACGAGATTCTCTCCTCTTCTTCATTATATTTGCATTCGTCTGAGAGAAAACGCAACAGAAGCGAGTTGAAGAGGGACTCGAGTTCCATATAACACTCTTGGCCACCCAATAGGACTCGTTTGTTCGAAATTCATTGAATCTAGACGGAAAAGACCTATCACCCCCCTTTAGAAACATCTTTCTTCATCCAGACGAAGGGTACAGCTTGGAAATAGCTTCATGAACGAAATTATCCCTTGATTTCCGGTATTTTTTTTAGAGGTTCGTTGATTGATCGATCCCAGCTCGAAGCGTGTCTTCTTATCCATGGAAAGTTCACTTAAAAATACTATCTTTGGCAATGATGATGCGTGTACAGTATCGAGCATAGATGCTTCCCTAGGGAAAATGGCGATACAGAGGAAAAAGGCTCCACTACTCGTGATAATACTCCAAAGTCACATTATATTATAATTAAGACTGATTTAGGAAATTTGAATAACTAAAAGATTTGAGTAATAAATAAAAATTCCCTATATCGCCATTTTTTCTAATACAGTACCTAGCATGGGGCTATCCCCTCGAGAAAATGGCGATATAGTGGAAAAAGTCTGCATATAATTAAAGGTGATTTGGATAACTTGTATAACTAAAAGATATTAATGAATTAAAATTCCCTACATCGCCATCTTTCGTAGTACAGAAGCGAGCATGGGGCTCTGCCCTAGGGAAAATGGCGATACAAAGGAAAAAGAATCCAGTTACCGAATATTATAATTATGGTTAATTTAGAAAATTTGCATACCTAAAAGATATGGATAATAAATAAAAATTCCCTACATCGCCATTATTCCTAGTACAGAACCGAGAATGGGGTTCTTCCCTAGGGGAAAAATGGCAATATAAGGCACCACTTGCCTATAAACATTTACTCGCCAAGATTTTGTTGCTTGTCGAGAACGATAATGTTTCGTATAAGCTAGGGAAAGTGCGTGACTCTCGAATATTATAGCAGGTTATGGTTATTGGCCTTCGTCCCCTCGCATGGCCATTTTCCCTGTGAAAACCTACCTATTATTATACCTTTGTATTCGTTACCCGATTCCCGTGTGTCCCTGTGCTTTTCGGCAGCGTGTGGTTTCGGTTTCTGCAGCAATTCTATCGGTTGATCCCTCTGCTTTTAGGGCCAACGTGATGTAACTCGATGAGACCGATGCTTTCGTTTGAGTTCTAGCTTCAGCGAAACGTTTGACGATTCGAAATCGGACATGAGATCTCATTAGTGTCATTCTGAACATTTATACACCGTAAAATTAATTTTCTGAATGTTTTACATTCGATAGTGTTTTCAACATCTCCTAGGGAATTTTTTGTTACTTTTCTAATGTCGTCATACGTTGCTTGATGATTGCTATTTCTCTGTCACGATCGAACACCACACGAAACCGTTGAAGAATGTTGAAAAAGAAACGCGAGTACTTGACGAGATTCTTCGTTTCAGTTTCATTTTCATTTTTGGCAAGATGGCGGAGAATCACTCGAGGCGAACTACACGTTCTGTACGTATATAGTCGACGATTCTGTACGCGCCCATTTTTGTTGCATACGTATAGGCAACGGTACCGATGTCTTAGGTGGGTGTACGTATTTATACGTGTCTTTTACGCGGATGCAGCTTTTACGGTACAAAGATGACACTCTCATCTCAGAGACTGCTACCAAACTCGCTCGATCTTCGTCGGTCGACGTGCTTCATGTACGTCTCCGAGTATATACTTTTAGTGCGGTCGTCGTACCTGAAAAAAGAAACGAACAATCGCACCAATACGTTTTGTTCAAACTAGCAGCTTTCATGCAGGTTAAGATTGGAATTGTTCGTTGCTCGGATTCGCTTAAACCCTTTCCTAGCTATAGATGTATTTTTGTCCATTAATTGACACGTTCAAAATGTGTAACAATACTAAAAATTTAATAAAAATTGACAAAAATAGAAAACTTCGTCAAAAGTGTAACATTTAGCATAGAAAGGGTTAATTAATGAGTAGTGATGGGTTTAAGCTGATTCGAATTTTCTTGTTTGAAACATCATCTATAAAGTTTAACCTCATAATTTTCTGTATTACATTATCACTATAACAGTAACGCTATATCGAGTTAAAAATCACGCAACATATATAATAATACGCGAATTGCAAATTGTTGCAACAATATGTTTTCGTTACGCGTTCATTCGCGCCGCTTTCCAGTAATTTATTTTCATCGCCGCTGTTTTACGATCGAAGTTCGAACGGTCTCTAAAAAAATACGATAATGAAAAATCAGAATGGTGAACCATATTTCATCGAAAGTTGTGTTTTAATTTTCCCACAGCTACGCACCTTTAATATCCGTTACTCGTCGATCGATTGCTGTTTGTTTAAACAAAAGAAAAATAAACTTTTCGTATATTCGAATCACAGCGAAAACAAGCCGGCGGATTTTACCGAGTCAACTTTTATCGGGGATACATTTTCATCAAGGTAAACACAGGACGGTAGATGTATTTTAAAGATGGCTTTTGGTGTTTGCAATTTCCGCGTGAGATAGGGGGTTAACTTGGTCGTAAAATTTTGCGAAAAATATATTGGAACGACGCAAAGTTCAAACGTCGAACGATAGCAAACTTTTCAGTTTTAGGATAATCGAAAAAAAAAACTATAATAAAGTATACTTTCGAAATGAAATTGTGTTACTATAAATATTTGCATACACGAAATGTTAGGGTCCACCACATGACTAATAATTTAATTAAAAAATATTTCACATGAAAATTTTCGCTGATCTCATATACGTGATTCTGAAATTATTGGATTATTGGAAAATTATTGCAAAAATTCACTTTATAAAAGTATCTGAATAAAATATCAATTTCCAGCCGACCAGAATATTTCTCCTTCTATTTCACCTGGTTTGCATGAGAATAAAGCTTCGAAGAAGGCAGATTTCAACAGGAAAGGAAATAGAAATGGAGATAGAAAGGGGGTAACAAAGAAAGCGATAGAATGTAGTGCGTACCTCGATGTGTCAGACCAGATCGTACCTTAGGGACGGCCGACGGAAGTCGAGCGCCTCGAGATCGGACGGCTCTCGTCTGCAGAGCGAACAGAAAGCGCACTGCAGTGTATTCTTAAAGGCTTCTCGGAAGTCACGGTTAAAGTACGCGTAGATCAGCGGATTCAGCGCCGAATTCGTGTATCCGATCCAGAAGAGTAACGCGATCACGATGTCAGGACACGGACAAGAGTCGCCGCAGAGTGTCGTGATAACGTACCTACAGACAGAAATTTTCACTCACAACGTTGTTCGAAATTTTCCACTCGACAGTTTAACCCTTTGAACACGGAGAACCTTACTCTGTTCGTTCGTACAGAGTTGGATATTATTTCGAATGATCTTCTGATACATATTTTGAATAAAATGAAAATATTTATAAAATTAAATTTCATTTTTTCTTTGAATGAAGCTTTGGATAAAACTAAATTATTTGGAAATAGTGAATAATTTTTAATTTGAAGAAAGTTTTACTTGGAATGAGCTTGAATTTTCTGTTGTTTTTATTTATTTATTTTTTATTATTTATTATTTTAATAATTCGAATGGCTTTTTATTCAGAATAAAAATTTATTTCTTATTCTTGAATATCTTCATTTTAGTCGAAATTTGTATCTGAAGATTATTTCAATTAATGGCCAACTTTATATCAGCAAAAGAAGTTTTTCGAAAAACAAATTTTTCAAAGTTTCGAGAATAAGAAATTGGAAATGATTTAAGAAAAAGTACTTAAGTAGTACAAAGGAATGCTTTTCTGATAACGAGCAAAATAATGGAAATTAAACATTGTTTTACGCAAACTGCTTATTCCTCTGGACGTATTTACTTAATTGTGTTTTCTTATCCTAACGAGAGTAATTGAATCCATTATACGAACGCGATGCTCGTGTGCGTCACGAATCTTTTCAATTTCCATGTTACATCAAATGAACGACTATCTAGCAGTCACAATTATTGTAATCGACAAAAATGAAAAGGAAATTGCAATTAGATATATTTTGTCTCAAAGAGGTTCATACCATAATCATTGACAGGGTAACATGTACAGTTGTTGATCTCTATACAATGATAGACCCTTTTCCTAAAAGAATAAAAAATACATATGTATAATATAATGCGTTTCTTAACCCTAAGGGATAAAGTCACTAGGACATTCAAAGATAAATCTTAGCCTTTATATAATTGAATTTAGAGAAATGATTGTTACATTTTTTTTGTTATTTGCTAATTTATTTTTCTAAATGAATAGATCCTAGTGTTAATTGAAGATAATTAAAATTTATTTATATTGATGATTATTTAAATTAAATTTGAAAAGATTTCTGATCATTAACCTTGTGGAGAGAGCCACAATTTTAATTTAATTCTTAATTTATATTATTTTTATTTCTTGGATTTTGCACAAAAAATTATTCTTCTAGTACGTGAAATTCTTTTGTTTAAAAATTATACGTTTAACTTTAGATTAATGTCCTTCTATATGTTTTGTAAGTGTGTGTTACGTTTGACACAAGCTCTTCTATTCAAGGATTAAATAATGAAATATAATTACCTTTCGTATCCCGAATAGTTTTAGTTCCAAATAAAATTATAGTGTATTACGTAAAAAACGCATTATATTATTTTTTCAAATTTTTAAGGAAGAGGTTCAATCATTATATAGAAGTCAACGTACAAACAATGGACAAAAGTCATTTATACTTTAAGCGATTTGATGAGAAACTCCCCTTAACAAACATGTTAAAATATTTAAAAACAAAAGAAAAATAAACAACACATTGTCTACAATTAATCTGAAACGCACCATAAGAAAAACGGCAGCCAACAGATAATGAAGGTACCCATAATGATGCCTAACGTCCTAGCAGCCTTGTGCTCTCTCTTCATCTTCATGATGTTTTTATCCTTGGTGGGTGTGTGCAAATGATCGGTGCTGATCTCGTTCAAAGTTAAAGTCTTAGAAGAACCCGCGCTGTTCAGTTCCCCGTTCAAATTATTCAGATCCTTGCTGGGCCTGTGGCTGAGCAGCATCACGTTACCCATCCTGCTGTGCATCTGTTTCTCCTGCCTGTTTGCCTCTTTGAAGACGGCGAAATACGTGAGGGTCATGATGGTGCAGGGTATCCAGAAGGAGATACTCGACGAGAATATAGCGTACACCTTGTTCACCTTGAACTCGCATAGTTCCGGATGTTTCTGTCGGTGCATACTGTTCTCGACGGTAGTGTACCATCCCATGAAGATCGGCATGAACGAGATGAACGCGGGCATGATCCAACAGGCTAACAGCATGTATGCGGCCAACCTCTTGGTCATTATGATGGGATACTTGAGCGGTTTCACGATCGCCCAATAACGATCCACCGAGATGCACATCAAGTGAAGGATGGAACTGGTGCTGAAGTAGACGTCCAACGAGTTCCACACGTCGCACATGAAGTATCCAAACAACCACCTGCCTGTCATTTGGACGCTCGCGTTGAACGTCATCGCGAACATCGCGACCAGCATGTCAGCCAGGGCTAACGAGACGACGAAGTAATTGGTGATGATGCGCAGCTTTCTATGACGCATCACCGACACCATCACCAGCAGGTTACCGAACACCGCCGTCACGATGATCGAGCCTAACAGACAACCTTTCGCTATGGTAGTCGGTAGAGACCACTTCTGGTCGTTCGTGTAACTGCCGTTCACGAACTGATTGTCCTCGGAGGAGATGGCGTTCAATAGGGTAGTCACGTCCACCGAGGACACCTCGGTCGGCTCGGAGCTAGTCACGATCGTCGTCATACTCGGCAGCCGCGTTTCCCCTTCGCCTTGCTTCCTCTTCTTCGGCCGGAAGAGATCCGACAGGCGGGCTTAGGTCACGGACGTGCCAACCAGCCGACGTACCAGGTTGGCCTTCATCATCGCTTCGAGGAAAGTGCGACCCCTTTTGCCAAGTTTCTTGTACCCTGGGACGATTGCCAGCGTTATCGCCGATACCGACGACGGGGTACAATGTTGCCTGGTGTGGGTGTCGCGAATCTTCAGGAACGATCACCGGGACGAAGGGAGCGTTGCTGAGGCTCCTTTTACATGACTGAGGCGGAGGCAACCTGCGAGTAGAGAAATTAATCTGGTTAGGTTGAATATCATTTCAACTGGTTCCGAATATTATTTGAAATAATTGTTCGTATTAAACGGAACAGCTTTATGGTATTTTAACGCGATATTGATGTAATGATCGTCTCGATTGAGGTATTCGACACGGGAGAGATATCAAGCACACTATACGACCCACTTTATTCGATTTGTTTGTACTACTTGCTTAATCTACTCAATCCATTACGATCATCCGGACTATTCAATTTATTCAGTCTGCACGCCACTGCACCGTGCCGGCAGATTTATGCGCTCCAACCCTTCAACACCGGGCCCTGGGTCAATCGTGATCCGAGCTGACAAAATATATACAAGAATATTAATTAAAAGTTGATATATTGGGAGAATAAGTTTTAAAACAACTGTGTTAAATTTAGACAATAAAATTAGAGCTTTCTCCATGGTCCGTCGTCTAGGAGTTAACCCTTGAACAGCGGAGCTTGGGTCAATCGTGACCCAAACTGACAAAATATGTACAAAAATATTAATTTAAAGTTATTATACTGGAAGAATAATTTTGAAAGGAACAGTGTGAAAATTGGAAAATAAAATTAGAGCTTCCTCCATGGTCCGTCGTCCGAGGGTTAAAGCCAACGTAAATATCTGACAAAATTTTTAATAAATTCTGTATAAATAGAAGTAAGGGTGGTATTTAAATTTTATTGCTTTAAATTTTAGATTAATACTATATAATTCTATGTAAAAATATTATTTATAATCATAATCATTTTTCCTCGCCTCTTCACTAACGATTAGTATGGTTACTCTGTGATGAAAATAAAATTTCTCAAAAGCAAATTTGAAGCCTTATTCATGCAAACGAAACGTTCATTCGTTCTCATCATCTGTCCTCAGTCCCCGGGGTGTCCAACTTCCTACGTCGCTCAACCCCGTTCTTAGTGGGACAACGAGCCGTTCCCGACGCGAGTTTCCCGATTGTCACCACTCGAAACGAGGACACGCCGGAAGAATGAGTAACCTTGAATGGAACCCTCTTTTTCTGCCGCGTCGTCTGTCTCTCCGGCTTCGTTGACCGTGTCGCGCGACAGGGCCGTGTCAAGTGCACTCCCCTACCCCTCCCTCTAATTTATGATCCGCTATTTTTGCGGTACATTTGGGTCAATTATTCCGACGTCGAGCGACCTGAAACGCGATTCTGCCTTCGCAGAACGTAGAAAAGAAACTGCCCACGCTCGAACGGGCCGAGGAACGCCACTTTTATTCGTCCGCGAAATAGGCAACCCCTAAAAAAGGGGCTCGCGTCTCGACGACCAGCTTTGATTACTTCACCAACCCTGCTCTCGCCTTTGTACTACGCCATTTTGCCTCTCGAAAAGGCGGACCTGTAGCCCTCCTTAGACGTCCCTTTAAGGCGCCACTGGTTGATCCGCTTTGCGTGCAAAGGGTTGCAAAAAGATATCCCAAAGCGAATCGAACGACGGTGTTCGATCATTTCGAAATTGCAATTGTCAAAAGTGATCTCGAGCAATTTTTCCGGAATCGGATGAAATCGTGCAAGAAAACGCTACTGTAATGATTCCACGATTGATTTCCCATCGGTTTCGGTTTCGGTTGCCAAACGATAAAACGTTAACACGATCGAGACAGTGGAAAAGAGGATCACCGTATACCGAGTGGAAAAATTTGATAATGTCACCTAGCTGGAAAGGCCGCGCGATCGTTTCCAATTTACCTTCCGGTTGAAACGCGATTCATCGGGGCAAATGTTCGCGCCTCAGCGTCCGAAACGCGTGATCCGCTTGCTCTATTTCACGGGGCGTGCAACTCGATTTTCTGAAAGCGTATCCAATCGCTTTGGATCCCGGGAAAATCCAATTTACTTCTCGCTTCGAGGAACAGAACAATCGCAAACAATCAATCTTGGATTTCTTAACGCGAACTCGTGGAAATCGTTAGGATTCAGAGCTACCGGTCTAATTAAGATTCATCATTATGCGGAATTAGAAATATTCTTCTTTGTGAAGATTAGAAAATATATACAAGAATATTAGGCTAAATTTAAGTATATTTTTGTATAAATTTTTATACGAAAGAGTTTCATATATTTCATTTATATGAGGCCTCTCTCCCTGGTCCGCCGTTTGAGAGAAATTATTCTCTCGCCTCGTTAAACTTCCTCGAGCATTCTTTTAAAGAATTTCCTTCGCGACAAACTTTCTTGGCACCAAAATTCGTTCGTTCAATTATGGAAAATTGTTATTTGAATTTTAAGCGCCCTTCAAGTTCTACGCAACGAGTTTCCTATACCTTTATCAAAGTTTCCAAACTCTCTCCCGATGGGTGTGTAATTCGCCTTCTCCTGCGCGCAACTAAACTTACGGCTACGTAAATTCGAGTTTCGTTATGTTTGAAATACTACCAAACACACCCACCTCACACCTTAAAAATATTAATCTTGATTCTATCGGTTCCGAGTAATTTTAGAGCGCTGTTTTATTCCGTCTCGTTGCTTGATAGAATCGACAACCAGCCATTTTGTGTTAAGAAAATTAATGAAACCTTTCTGTGATGATTTTCAGTGAAGCTTAAGCTTTGAATTGATGTGACACAAATGCTATTTTATGATACTTTTATGTCATCGAATCCTGTCAGACTTTGTACGTTTCGTAATCGGACATGCGATACCGGAGCTGATACTTTAATATCTTAGCATTACTCCAAGTGCTAGATAATACTTCAACATCGTAGCATTATGTCACCATTTATCCGCTAAATATGCTTGTACATCGTTCACAAATGAAACGTAATTTGTCAACGTAACAGATATACAGTCCCAGACGTTTCTCGCTCTGAATTACGCGTGATAAATAAGCTCCACGCGTTTACACCCCCGCATCACGTTAAAAAGTCATTTTTCTTCGAAACCAGCAAGGTCGTCGGAATTTTTCACTGAATAGATTATTACATACGATCTTCATATGGTATATTAAGCTGTTTCTGTTATAACTAATGAACCTGTCACTTTCAAATTGAAATCTTATTCGGAATGAACAATTAATCATGTTTCATATATTTGGTGATATTTTGTTAAAGAAATTCCTAAATTCTGTGTAAATATTGTTGAAATTACACTGAGCATGTAAAATGTAAAGAAAGTCATAAAATTGAATAATTAGTTACTACTGTAATAATTTCATAAGGTATTGTTCTAATACTGTTCTAATGTTCTAACACACTGGTACTTCAATACTCTAATATTCTAACACTTTCATATTCTATTACTCTAATATTCTAACACTCTCAAATTCTAATATTCTATCACTCTAATATTCTAACAATCTAAAATTCTAATATTCTAATATTCTATGACAGTAATATTCTATCATTCTAATATGCTAACACTAATATTCTAAAACTCTATTATTCTAACACTCTAATATTCTATCACTCTAATATTCTAATATTCTAATAATCTAGAACTCTAAATTTCAACTGAAAAATAAAACTATTGAATGCTAAATAATTACAGAAAAATTTTTCTAAACCCAATATCACAACTCTGTGTAACAGATCACGTACACGAATGTTATCTCTATAAATTTCTAATCAATCAAAGTCCATCAGACATTCTGATACAACCCCCATAGTCAACGATAATGGTTCTCAGAGGAGTCGTATGGTTGGACATTTATCTTTTCGTTCGAACGAGCCGGATACATAGCCGGGAAATTATAGGATTCCGATAGAGAGACCGGTTTGAATAACGATTCGAGATCGTTTACGTTTACTTGGTCGATTTATTAATGAATCAATGGCACGCGGCGAAACAAATTGATCGCAAGGGATTATTGACGAGTCAAGCTGACGATACCCGGTGGCGATTTCACTTAATAATCATGTGAATTGCCTGGATGCCTGCTACATGATTGATCACGTTCTGTAATCAGTTATCGAATGCGTTTACGGATCACTGAATCGATGACGTGATTTTCCTGCCATCAATGAACCTATATGTTCCAGTCTTTCCTCAACAGTTGAGAAAAAAAAAATAGAAATTTTTCAGAGGATTTCATTCCAAATTAATGTTGAAATTATATACAGCTTCGACAGCAATTAATTACAAAAATAAATAGTATTGGATGTTTAATAATATTCATTAGAAGGGTTCAATTAAAAATACCAATTTATCAATATTTTAGTATTGATGATAATTTTGATAAAAATTATTCAATATTTTGCAACTGGAATTTGTTTTCACCCTTAAAAGGCGAAGCCTGGGTCAATTGTGACCCACATTTACAAAACATATACAAGGACATTAAAAGAAAATAATTAGAATTAGAATTAATAGGATTAGAATTAAAATTAGAACTAATAGGATTAGAATTAGAATTAGAATTAATTAGAATTAGAATTAAATTAGAATTGTGACTTTCTCCGTGATCCGTCGTCCAGGGGTTCTCTCCATGGTCCGCCAACCAAGGGTTAAAATAAAAAGGAAACTATAGAATGATAGACGTTTTTATTCCTAAAGTAACTACTTTAAGTTGAGAACGTAAATCTCCTGAAGAAAAATAGCAAAAGTAAGAGAAGAAAATCCGTTTTACCATTTGCCGTGAAATAAAATTCCCTCTCAAAAATTCTACCGCGTCGGAGTCGCGTAAGTTCTTGGTCGTCGTCATGTAAATCGCTCTTTTTCATCCATTGCTCCCAAGCGCCTGGAATATAAGTAGAATTCTCAACGACGAAGCCGACCAAGGACAGGAACCTCATGGAATTCGCAAGATCAATGGCGACTCGACCTCGCGCTCCATCGTCTCGTGGTTTAATGAGAATTTCTCGCATTTCCGATCGTCCATGAGCCGGACGCTTTTGTATCCTCGCTAATTTCGCGTTTTCGTCGCAATCGCAGCGGAATGGACGTGGAAAATTCCCATCAATTTTCCAAACTAAATTCTGAAAATGTTAAATATGTACACATTTTGTTTTCCCC